TAGCTGTATGCTTTTATTTTTTTCTGTCAGGATGTCGGAGCGCTCCACCTCCTCTGTCCAGTGCTGGTGTGGTGTGAGGCGGACAGCTCAGCCGAGGCTGCTGGAGCTTCATGTCCTGATCGAGGGAGCCAACATGAGTCAGTCCCAGACTGAGCTGACTTGATCAAGTCTCTCTCTGCCTCTGGTGAGGAGGGGGGGTGAAAAATCCTCCACCTCAGACCGTTCAGAGATGCAACTATCTGCGTCGCTGTGGTCACTCTCCATGTAGCATCAATTATGCTAATGCTAGCTGTCACGTTCCCTCGTCCTGGCCYCACCTCCGCTCTCTAACCCACCCCCTACCCACTTTGATGCATTTTTCAAATTTCGCCTTGGGGCGGAGTTATCTTTTCACAGTGGGGTAAGACACACGTTAAAACCAGTGGTGGGCACCGTTCCCCTAAAGCACTAAAGCACTAATAGGGGAACTAATTTCCTGATTATTGCTTTAGGGCTTTTGCCAATTTTTTTTAAATTTCTTAGTGGATTAGCTAAATTTATAGGCTTAATTTAGAAGCKCTAACTGAGGTCTATAAATGTTATTGATCAACGTTAATGTTAACAGATGAAGGTGAAAGCTGTCACACATTTTGTTCATGTGTGTCACTTATCCACCAAGTGACAATATATGAACCCAAATACAACTGTGYAATGTCAATGATAAGTCTTAAGAGACCAACATGTGACTCATGTTGTCTGTTGAACAATGTTCATGGGTTGYCTGGGTTATTTTTGTGCTTTACAATTAGCTTTTGCTAAACTTTTCAGTGTCTTAGTGCTTTAGAATTAGGGGACCTAAATATCCGACTTAGTGTTTTAGGGGTAGTGGAACTAATTTTTAGATTAGTGCTGCCCACCACTGGTTACAACTAAAAAAGTGGTATCATGAAGACCAAGGAACTTGCCACACAGGTCAGAGATAAAGTTGTGGAGAAGCATCAAGAATCCCTGGAACGTCTCATGAAGCTTTGTTAAAGTGCCTGTGACATCACTTTTCATAAAATAAATATGAAAACATTTTTGTAAAGGTAACACAGACAACATATCACAAAAAAACTTCACAAAGCTGAGATGAACAGCTGTTGAGATATTTGCATGTGAAGTAACAGGAAGTGACATCAAAGGGGAACGTCTGCTTGTGAACAGAGCTATAATGGCCGACAACACAGACTGTAGAGAAGAATCTGATGGTTCTTTAGATTGTTTTGAGTCACTATCAGAGATGAAGAGTCGGAGTTCAAATAAAATTGTTTAAATAAACAAAGACCAGAAAGTTTTTCTTTCTTTAAAAGTTCCCCTTTGATGTCACTTCCTGTTTCACTTTGGCTGAGCCAAGTTCAAAAAGAAAAAAAAACACCAGTTTTGTAGCAAAATGGGTAAAATTGTGTATTCTTTCTTAAATATAAACATGTTTTCTTTGATTTTAGGACAGGAACCTTAAATAATCCAGAAAAACATACAGTTAAGGCCAGAGATAATCCATGATGGAGCTGTTTTGTGCAGAAATGGTCTCCATAGCTTCATTCCAAACGTGGAAGAAGCTGCTGTGGTTCGATGAGATTAAGCCTAAAGGACACCATGACTGCTACAAACCTGAGAACACCATCTGCATAGTGCTCACTTTGTTGTGCAGGAAAAGGATGTAATGTTTGATGCAACTTTCACACCTTTTATTTCAGATTTAGAAAAAAACGTCGCAGATAAAGACTGAAGATGTCGTATTGTTGTGATCAAAGAAACACGCAGACTCTAATTACAGATAATTGAAGACCAACGTGCTTCTTGTGCCTCTCATATTTAGTTTTCTTTTCAGACGTCTCCTGATGGTTTACTGAGACAAACGCGACAGTAGTTTTTGTTTTCAAACTGAATGGTTTATATTTCCTTCTTACCCTGCCTTGATTATCCTGTTTTCATAAGCCCAAACTCCAAATAATTGCACATCTGCAATCCTTTGCCCTCTTTTTCCTTTGTCCTTCACTACACCCTCTCCTTCCTTTTTTTTRCTTTTGCTCACACACTAACGGTCGACCTCTGATAGCAGACCTGCTTCCCTCGCCTTCACCCCGACGGCTCTGATTGTGTTCCTTTTTTTCTGCAGGTGGAGACTGTTTTTTTAATTTCCTTTTTTTTTTTGTCATATAGCTGGTCCAGCCCTGTTTCCTCTTCCTGTTTAAATGTGGAAAAGGTTTTTTTTCTTTTTGCCAAGCTTTTAGTCATACCATGCACACACTTGAATGCACAGTTGRACAAATTCACAGGTAAATTTATGGCAAATAAAAAAGAAATCTGGCGATACAGAATACAAAATACATACATTCCAGTTGTACGTTTTTATTTATCTTTCCTCAACCCATATGCTGTAATCTTGAAGAAACTGAAAACCAAATATACACCCAGTATTGCCCTCCAACCTTTATGCCAGAATTTTAAACTAAAAACTAAATAACTTTGTAGATGGCGTTAAGTGAAATCTCATGCATTATTGCAGCAAAGTCTTGTTTGATATGTTTGGGCTTGAAATAWGTTTTGAGGATGACTCTCAGCTACTACCACACCAAATTTTAGCGTGATATTTGCAAATTGGTGGAGTTACAGCCATTTTGGTGTTTCATAATTCCAATCGCTCTGGATGCCATTTTGAATTAGATGYACTTCAAAATATAAAGAGTTATAGAGGAACATCCAATAAATGATTCCTTTAAGTTTTACTAAAATCTATTCAGTGGTTCATGAGATATGTTGCTAACAGACAGATCGACAGAGTTTACTCCAAATAAGTATGTATAGTTAG